TAACGTATTCTAAAATCCAGGTTTTCTCAAGCTTTCCAGTTACATTGAACAAATCTTACTATTTTACTTTTAAATCTATTCAAAGACACTGTTTTTAAGAAGGCTTTGGAACTTATTTCATAAAACCCCCTTGACCAGTTCAGAGTACATTTATAGTCTAAATATGTTTAATTTTCTTACAAAGCACTTTGGGTGTTCAATAAACACAACTTTCCCAAATAAATAATGCTTGCAAAATGACTAAGTCATCCTGTACACATATGGTGAGGATGAAATTCTCTGAAGCAGGGGGCCACCGGCTGCAACGGGTGACCTGCGGAGCCTCATGGCCTAGGAGGGCCTGGTGTGAACCACTTTTAGGAGAAGGGAGGCCGAGAGGACAGCTATTCTCCATGAAGAGCAGGAGAACTGGTCTGGAGGACCAAGGATGTGGTACGAACCTGCCCCTGGGAAAATCTAAGGTTGTCCATGCGTCCAACAGGAAGGCCTTCTTGTGCCTGCTCCACGCGTCACATTTAGGGCATCACCCCTCTGTCACCTTCTGTCTGTCTAGGTTCTACCCACCACCCAAGACATATTCAAGGCCCTGTCCTTCCATTACCCAGGGCTCAGGAATGGCCCCATCTCCTGAACTTTGGTTTGTATGTTCTCTCTCCCACTCTTCTCTAAATATTCCGGAGGTAAACATCTTTTCAACAAATTCACACATTTCTTAAAGGAATTCTTACCGGTTTTTAAAGCCCCGAAGTGCTTATCACAATGCTAGCCACATGGTGGAAAATGTACTCGATACGCACTCATTAACTGAGGTATCCCACAGTAACTCTTCGGTAGGGAATCTGTCACTCACTTTAAAACAGTTCAGTTGAAACTGGACAATATTATGTAGTTACTGGTTAGTTCAAGCTTCCATTCTAGAGAAGTCAGTTGCCATTTCTGACAATTCACACTCCAGAAATATTGGATTGATAACCAATCATTGATCCCCAAATGCTCAGCAATAGTAAGACTTTATTAATGTGCACAGCAAATGTCTGAAAAAGGTATTGATGAGCAATTAGTCACTAATAAATTAATATAATGAATATTGGAATGGATCTCATTGATAAAAATAAAGGTGTCCAAAAATATGAGTTGGCTAAAATATTTAAAGGACACACTCCCACCCTGAACAGAGAGTATAAGTCTAGGGGTATCTGTGGCCTGTGTCCTTCAGGACAACACTCAGGCCTCGCTCTGTGAACAGCCCTGTGTCCAGGCATGGCTTTTGGGGCAACCCTGTGCCTAGTGCTGACCATGAAAGTGACAGAGCCTGCATCAGAACGCTGTCACATGTACCTTAGGATCCTTCATGCAGGATGGGGGGGGGACCAGAACACCTAAAATATGGGGACCTGGGACACCTGCAAATTTGCAGAATAGATTGGGTGTACTACTTTGGCCTTTTTAAAATAGAAATACTTCTGTCTTTATTAGCAAACAAAATAAAGGAAAAATACATAAATTCACAGGTTAGAGTCGCATCTCTCCCAGTCTAGGAGTATGGAAAGCACATAATGACAATTCTAATTTATAGGCCACACTGCTATTCATAAATTGTATTTTTAAAAATGAAGGAAAAAGCCAAGTGGCAAAATGCTTGACATGGGTCCGGTGGATCTGATTCACTGGCAAAATGTTTCAGGTCCGCAGAAGCATTTGAAGTATTTATTTAATGCTATGTGGTTACTCTAGGTCAATACCTGGTCTCTATAATTCATAGGGTTATTGAAGGGTCCAGACTGCCATTTATATTTTCCTCTCTATTTTAATTTAAAAAAAATTTAAATTTATTTATGAGAGAGAGAGAGAGAGAGAGAGAGAGAGACAGCATGAGAAGGGGAGGGGTAGAGAGAGAGGGAGACACAGAATCCAAAGAAGCTTCCAGGCTCTGAGCTGTTAGCACAGAGACTGACACAGGGCTTGAACTCACAAACCATGAGATCATGACCTAAACCGAAGTGGACACTTAACTGACAGAGCCACCCAGGCACCCCTCTGTCTCTATTTTAAAATAAATGTTCACGGTTGGGGCGCCCGGGTGGCGTAGTTGGTTAAGCGTCCGACTTTCGCTCGGGTCATGATCTCGCGGTTCGTGGGTTCGAGCCCCGCGTCGGGCTCTGTGCTGACTGCCAGCTCAGAGCCTGGAGCCTGTTTCAGTCTGTGACTCCCTCTCTCTCTGACCCTCCCCTGCTCACGCTCTCTCTCTCTCTCTCTCCTAGAAATAAATAAAACATTAAAAAAAAAAATAAAAAAAAATAAAATAAATGTTCACGTAAGAATTTAATTTCTAATTATTTTTAATAATGAAGTATGGTAACATACTAATTTTACATAAGGCATTTGCTTTATTTTTATCTCTTTTTATGTGAAATTTGGAAGTTGAATTATAAATTAATTAGAATCCTTCTATTAATGGATCCTCCTAAGAAAAAAATGGGAATCCAAGTAGGAATTTGGCTTGGTTTTGTCACTCAAACTTCTGTTAGTTGTATGTTCATATTAATTTTAAATTTTAGGAAATTTAACTGAAAATTAATTCCGTCATTAATAGTTTAAGTACCCTACCCCAAGGATCCTATCCTGTAAAAATTTTTTTTAAGTTTATTTAAATCCAGGTTAGTTAACATGTAGTGTAATAATGATTTCAGGAGTAGAATTTAGTGATTCATCACTTACATATAACACCCAGTGCTCTCCCAACAAGTGTCCTCCTTAACGCCCATCCCCCATCTAGCCCACGCCCCAACACCTCCCCTCCAGCAACCCTCAGTGTTCTCTGTAGTTAAGAGTCTCTTATGGTTTTTCTCCCTCTCTATTTTTATCTTTTTTTTCCTTTCCTTCCCCTACGTTCATCTGTTTTGTGCCTTCTTATTAATAAATGTTTGTTTGTTTGTTTGTTTGTTCGTTTTCTTAAATGAATGTGACAGAATTTGATTTGAGACTTTCTGTAATTACAGCCTGGTAGGAAGGTTGTGGAGAGTGCTAACTCCCCTCCATCAACAGCTACTATCAAAAAAGCCCGAAGAGCTGCGCATGGCCAACTGGCTGCCCTCTATAGTGTTGCTATGAGCCCACTGTTGGGAGGGTCAGACTGAAGAGGGGGTAGTTCTGTGTTCAAAATCAGGAAAGAATTCATAGTGTTCCTCTTGAGTTTCCACAAGTGTCCTGATGCATCTCTGAGGTAGTTGAGGAGCTCCTTTGCTTGATGGCCCCCTGTAAATATAGCTGAACTCCACCATGAACACCAATGTCATTTGGGCCAAACTGCCTTCAAATGGTACCCAGGCAGCACTCTAGGAAGCCAACTCTTGGGGATGGATTTCAAAATGGAATTTCTGTTTTCCATATTCTAAAATTTTTTTAATGTTTATTTATTTTTGAGAGAAAGAGGGAGACCAAGTGTGAGTGGGGGAGGGCAGAGAGCGAGGGGGACACAGAATCCAAAGCAGGCTCCAGACTCTGAGCTGTCAGCACAGAGCCTGACGTAGGGTTCAAACTTGTGAACCGCGAGATCATGGTCTGAGCGGAACTCGGACGCTGGACCCACTGAGCCTCCCAGGGGCCCCTCCATGTTCTAATCAGTAGTAAATAGAGTCCAGATCCTAGGAATATTTACCAAATACCTAATCCGCATAAAGCAATTTCATTCATGGCTTCTCATTTGTTCCTCAAAAAAGTCTTGCGAGAGAGTTCATACTGTCACCAGTTTGCAGCCGAGCAAACAGAGGACGGAACAAAGAACTTTTCTTTGCAGCGATTTCTGCATCTGGTGCTGATTTGTCAACAAGCCTCTTTCCTCCCTGTCACCTCTTATTGATTTGTCTAGCAACCACAGGAAACCCATACGGCATTCCTTAAAACTTGTGAATGTGGCACAAGCCACGGGAGCTGTCTGAAGTCCAGTCCCTAGGGTCTGTACCCTTGGGTAGAACAGCTGGAGGCTGGGGAGGGTGCCACGAGTGTGGACAGAGGGTTAAGGCACAACAGCACCAGCTCTGAGGCCAACGTGGGAGCCTTCTCCACGCCAGCTCGTGACTAACATTTCAGCCAATTAGTCACACTTAATTTGACTGTTATTCAGGGAGGTGGCAAAAACTCATGCCTGCTTTCTTCTGGATGAAGTGTTGGACCAGAAGCCTGGGAGACTGGAACCGTGTCACCGCTCGGCGGATGGCTCCATCCTGGTGCCATCCCGGGCCAGGCTTGAGCGCTCCGGCAGAAGGAAGCAGACGTTTAGAGCGGTGCACACAGCTGGGTCCCTGAGCACGCATGTTGTCTCTGGCTCTCCCCACCCACAGTCTCAGCAAACACGGGCCTTATGGCTTCGTGGCTGGGGTTTGGGAGCATCAGTTTAATAAGGGGAGAGACTTGGACATCTATAAAATATATCTCTAAGACTGTACTTCATTGGACTCCTGCCATGGCAGGGAAGGGGATGAGCAAAGTCTAGTCCCTGGTGTCAATGGGCTCACTGCTTGGGAGAGGACAGAAGGCAAGGACAATCACGGTGACTCTGGGGATGCAAGGAGCTGGGAACAAAAACATCCAGGCACACAGACCGGAGGGGCTGTTTCCAGTTGGGCTGGTGAGGGAGGTGGCAGGAGGCCCTGGGGTCAGTACAGGAGCACCAGTCCCTGAGAAAGAGCCCCACGAATTGCCCTTGAACTCCCTGAGCCCTTGTTCACTCTTCAGCTAAGTCCACACAGTGGGGGCAGAACCATCTTCTGACTTTGACTTCTCCACTGTGGCCAAAGCCTGAAAACACAGTGGCAGCTCTCCAGTGGCTCTCGCCACGGAGCAGAGAAGCCTGTGTGGCAAAGGCTGACGTACCTGGGATATACTCTCACAAGTGGTAGAACTCAGAGGAAAGCCAAACGCTTGTGCCCCAAGACTGGGTTAGGAAACAATGGCCATGACTATTGGTATCATCCAGGTATTAACGTTGATCAGTGAGTAGCTAAGGTCTTAAAGCCATTTGTTAACATGGACCCAGCCATTTATTAACTGGGGGTGAGAGGTGTGAGCAGGGTGTCTCTTTAAAGCCTCTCCTTGAGGAGTCGGGGTGGCTTGGCTAACAGGACACATGGGCTTGCCCTTCTGATTTGCTGCGAGAGTTGGCACATTTGGACTAGCCTTGGCATAGCTGCCCTTTCCCATCGGAGCACAGTGATGCCTGGTCAGCTCTGCCTTCAGACATCACGTATTTGGAGTCCATTTATTAATATGAACCTGCACTCACACCTTTAAGAGAAGAAAAAGGCACGGGCTGTGACACATTTATTTGTTAAGACAAAAACCATAAAGGTATTACTAATGGTGAGATACCAGCAAGTTATTTAACTCTTTAGTGCCTCTGTGAACCCTAGCTTGTAGGGGTTTGATTGGAGCAGAGCAGTGCCTCTCAATTACTAATGCACTTACAAATCACCTGAAGATCGGATTGAAATGCAGATTCTGTTTTAGGGAGTCTGGGGGGCGGGCATCCTGAGAGTCTGCATTTCTAATACATTCCCAAGTGCTGCTGCTATTGCCAGTCTGTGGACTGCCTGCCAGCCCCTTTGAGGAGACAGTGACCAGACACTGTCTTATGCGGGGGTCTTCACAAATGCTGTTCCCTCCCACAGGAAGGATCCCTACCTTGTGGCAGAGTAAATGTTCATTAGATAATATCAAATGGATCATATATATACATGAATGAGCTACAATGTAGTTCATGGTAATGTTGACAATTGGTAAGTGAGAGCTCCTGTCATTTTAGAAGCATTGACCTTTGGGGCTAATCTATAGCATTGGGACAGTTGCTGGTGATATTTGATCCCTCTCTTTTCCTTGGACCCTTGGACCAGCGGCTCCTCTGGTGACTTGGGTCAGGGTGAGACTGCCTTTCTCTGCCTTCAGATTTGAACAGGGGCTTTCCAGGCAGCCTCTATGTTGCATCCAGGATACTCCGTCTGGCTCCCAGGCACGGTGAGTCCTCCCTCTGCCCCAATCCCCTGGACCCTCACTGGATTCATCCTAGCTGGGTACCAGGTGGAGCGTTCTACATGCAGCCTGTAGGGAGCATGAAGTGCACCTGGGTTCAGAGCTCAGCATTCTGGGAGATAAAGGGGGCCCACACATTTTGCGGTTGGTGACTCCTGTGTCAAATTCACCTAGATGCTCATTTAAAATACAGATTCCTGGGATGCCTGGGTGGCTCAGTTAAGCGCCTGACTCGACTTCAGCTCAGGTCATGATCTTGTGGTTTGTAAGTTCAAGCCCTGCATCAGGATCCTCTTTCTCGCCCCTCTCCTGCCCCTCCCCTGTGCATGCTCTCTCTCTCAAAAATAAATTAAAAAAATAAAATAAAATGCAGACTCCCGGGCCTCACCTCAGATCCTCCTAACTGAGGTCCCCGGGAGTAGATTGGAGTCCTTTAGCATGCTGGATTTTGAGACCCCACTTCACTGCCCAAGGCTGGGCGTGGAGCAGAGGGGTGTGGAGGGGACATTTGTGTGAGTGTGAGAGCTGCAGACAGCTCTCCTCAGAGCCAGGAGGTCTGGGGCATGTGGAGGATTCCCCCAGGGACACGAACACCAGCTCCAAAGCACTCCGCTGAGCCCAATGAAGGAAGTGTCTGCCTTCCTTGGTGATAGGGTGACAGAACCGTGGTCTCCCTGGAATGCCACCACACCCATTTCATGGGCAGCCCCTTTCCTGGAGCTTCAGGTGAGGCCGGGGATGCTGGTGCTAGCTTACACACGCAACGTACCTCGAGAATATGGAGAGGTCTGTACAACACATCCGAATAAGCAGCAAAGCGGGGAATAGAGGGCCGACAAGAAAGCCCAGGCTTCCCAGCCTTGAGGAATCAGGTGGGCAAATGCAAAGAGACCCCTCCCCGGTGGCTTACCCTTCCTAGAAGGTGTGTGGCCAAGCTTGTGAGGGGAATCGTCCCAGGAAAGATCTGCTCCGCTTGGTCTAGGCCAGATCTGGCTGTGTGAGAGGCGAGGCGTTTAAGATGTTTTCCACGCTTAGAAGGAAATCAATGCCTTCCCCCCACCTGACGAATGAATATGGAGATTGTGCCAGAGTCAGAAATGTCGCTGTGGATTTCTCCTAGAATCTGAGGGTCTGTAAATCCTATCGCTGGCTGGGAGCCTACTTTGATTATTTTTAATGCAAAAGAGGATGTATTTGAGCATCTGGCCTAGAAATCGACTAAATCTGTCTATAGCATAATTGGTTCCGAAAGAGCTGGAAGACAAATTGAGACTGGTGGCTGTAAATAGGAGGAAAGGTGGCAGAAGGGAGGCCAGATGGATGAGCTCAGACGTAAAACACACACAAACAAAAGCTGCCTGAGAGGCCGGAGGAGCACATTTGCAGTGGGGGCCGGAACCGGACTGGCCTGAGGGGACTCGCAGGCTTGCAAGTGTCCAGACCCGACGTCCTGCTCCCGGGACAGAGTCTGCCCTTGGACAGCAGGACTCAAAGTCAGTGTCACCGTGACGGGTGGTCCCAGATCGGCCCTGCTGGTGAATTCAGAACACAAATCATTAACAAACCGCGCGATACTTTAGAGAATTGAGGCTCAAGGCTGAGGCAGGGGTATGATCAGAGTCAAAGGTGAGGGGAGATGACTTTTCAGTTACTTTATACAATTTTCCTTTTACGTCGCATTGCTCCAAGGTGGCACATAGCCGAGCATCTTGTGCGTGGTGGGCCATCGATGCTTGTTTGAAGATGGTGATGACTCTGGCGATAAAGAGATGTCCTTGTTGGATAAAGCCTTGTTTTGGCAAGGAGGGAACCGAGAGTTAAAAACATCTATTGCTGAGGGGCACCTGGGTGGCCCAGTTGGCTAACATCTGACTTCGGCTCAGGTCATGATCTCGCAGTTCGTGGGTTTGAGCCCCGCATCGGGCTCTGTGCTGACAGCTCGGAGCCTGTAGCCTCCTCTGATTCTGTGTCTCCCTCTCTCTGCCCCACCCCCTCCTGCCCCGCTGGTGCTCTGTCTCTGTCTCTGTCTCTCTTTCAAAAATAAACATTAAAAAAAGTTTGAAAACATCTATTGCTGAACGGCATCCCCTGCTCCTTTGTCAGACGCCTCAGTGAGAGTGTCCTGCGCAACAGGCACAACTTGTACCTCTGCCCAACAAATACGTATAATTAAAAAATAGTACATTTTTTGTTTGCTTGCAAACACTGAAGACCCGTTCCAAGAAGATCAGGAGGAGCCTGGGGGGGACGGTAGCAGTGAGAGGTGAAACGGTGCCAGGCGCGTGCTTAACAGCACAACAGTAAATAATTATGCAGCCCCTTTCAGAGCTGCGACCGTGACCCACCCAATGAAGCTCCCGCCTGTCCCATTCTGATGGTCCCTAGTTCATGACATCCCCTCCACACCTGTCATAATAGCCTCACTCTCTGCGGCTGCTTCTTTTGCAGTTTCTCCCCCCACGCAGGCAAATTTCATGCTTCCAGAATGAAAAATAAAACCGCCAGTTCTCATCTCTTGGGGGGAAATTAGTCTTATTTCTCCCATAAATCATAAGCATGCTTCAGCTGTAAGCAGCATTAGCAACTCCAGAGGTAAATTAACTTGGGTTCCCGGGGAGACCTGAGGCTCCAGATGGATCTGGTGGTTTCCACCAGGGAAGGGATGAGGTGGGGTTATGTAACCACTCTCCACTGAAGGGGGGTGTCACCCCTCTGCCGGGATGGCCTCAGTTTATGCCTGCTGCTTCAGCACAGGTATTAAGAGCACCAACCTCCCCCCCGCCGCCCCCACAACACACACACACACACACACACACACACACACGTGTGCACGCGGTAAAAGAGTCCCAGTTTGATCGATAAGTTATTGTATCACTCCAGTTAAAGAGCACATATAATAAGGAGCAAAAGCTTGCTTTGAGCAAGAAGCCAGATGCAAAAGGCACCACGTCACATGACTCCATATATACATTTGTATATTTGACATCCGTCGAAACAGAAGGTAGATTAGCGGTGGCGAGGGGCTGGGGAGGACCGGGGAGGACTGCTGGCGGGGGAGGGGTTTCTTTCTGGGGTGAGGAGAATGTTCTCAAGGTGATCGTGATGATGGCTGAGAGACTCTGGCAATATACTAAAACCCACTGAGTTGTACTCTTTAAATGGGTGAATTGTATCATATGTGGATTACGTCGCTCAGTAAAGCTGCTCCATTAAGACGAAAGTTAATAAAGAGTTAAGCCACAGAAGTGCTAGAAGGGGACAACAAAAAAGCTGGTGGTCTGGGGAGCACTCGGTACTTCAAGGGCTCGTGGCTCCACAAGAGGCCGCTTATTCATTCTGAGAGGATGTGGTAACTCCTGTAGGCCTCTGGGGGGCCCCTTGCACACACTCCTGCATTTTTATGAGGCTTGTAGGATCAAGGAAAGAGCTATGAGGTTCCCCACGGTCATTGCTGAGAACCAAGGTGCGTGGGTTGGCCTTTAAATGGTGGAAGGTGTCAGCAGGGGACACGAGTCCTGAGGCAGAGATGAGCAGGTACATCTGGAGCCTAGTAACAATGGTTGGCTGGGGGAAGGTGGCAGAAGATTCTGAGTGGGCTGCCCTTCTTCAGTCATGCCCCGTACCAGGCGGCTCCCCATTCAGAAGGGGGAGGCAAGAGTTACAGGTGGTGGAGGCAGGTGTGGGGTTAGGAGTTTTTCTCCCCGTCGGAATTCAGTCCATTATTCCACCCGCAGCACAGGGTCAGAGTAGGGACAGACCTGCCCATTTACACAGGCAGCACAGGGTCAGAGTAGGGACAGACCTGCCCATTTACACAGGCAACTCTAGGAGACAAAGGACAATGATGAAGGTCCACTTGACGGGAGGACTCCTCAGCCCCAGGTCCTTTGGAAGAGATTACAGAACCTACAATATACCCCATCCCCAGTCCATCTACTGACAATGGGTCTCTCATTCAAGAGAAGGCAGCTGAGCTTGAAATCTACAAGAAGGCTGCACGTTTCCATTGTGCCATTTTTATATCCTCAACGCCTGCAACAGGGCTTGGCACTTAGCAGTGGTCGTTTGGGTGGATGGGTGGACAACACACGCAGGGTTCACGTGAGCAGAAAAGGCTACAGACACGAACAGCCCGGGGTCTTAGCCCAAGGCCAGGGTGCTGGGTCTAGGCTTCCAACAGAGGGCGCTGTACACCTGAAAGAGCAAGCCTAGGCCCAGCGCCAGAAGCCCGATGGGCATGTTAGGGTGATGGAGCTCAGTGCAGGCCAGAGGCAGAGATGGGGCCTGGAGCACAGAAGCTGGGGAAGGCTGTGAACCCAATGACCACACACTCAGGGCAGGGAGGAGACACAGCCGTTCTCCTGCTGGGCATTTCCTCAGCATTAGGGGAGGAAAGCCAACCACTCCAGTGGAGAATAGGATCCATGTCACTTTTGTTCATCAGTCAGTCCAGTGTCCAGCATTACAGCTGGTACAGTGAGGCTCACAACACAGATTTCTCGACTGGAATTAATGAACACATGAGTCTGGGGAAACTAAGTCATGCCGGACTGTATCATTCTTGGACTAGATCCAAATATGTATGTTCTTAGGCTACATCTCTGGCCTGTGCCTTGTCCACCTCAGAAACCAGAGTTCTACATAAATTCCGTAATCTACCCAGTGGGGTCGGGACCTGGGCTGGTCCTTGCACTGGATAGAGCTGAGTGCTGGCAAGACCAATGGTGAGCCTAATTAGCTATGCCAGGAGGGAAATTTCTGGGGGATCAATCCCCACTCCCCGACCTTTCCTACTCCCCAAGCTATGTGTGTAACAGAAACTAGAGCAAAGCCCTCCCACTTGGGCTACAACGTCTTCGGGTGAGAGTGTTTGAGGGTCTGAGATGCAGCTGTTGGGTGAATCCAGGAGGCGGATCCAGGAATGAACAAGGTGGAGCTGAATATGTCTACTGGGGAGAGCCTTGGCATATTGGTTCCCACTTTTCCACACCTGCGTCCATTTGTTCCTTCATTTTCCTGACTGTCCTTATCATGGTCAAGGAAATCTGCAAAGAGTGCAGTCAGGAATGGATGGGAGGGCTGCAAGATGAAGAAACGGAGGCGCTACCAGGCCCCTCTTCCCCAACCCAGGGCCAGCCGCAAAGCACACCCATTCCCGGCATCCCCTCTGGGCGGCAGTCTTGTCACTGGGAAGATCACTCAAGGGCAAAGTTCATGGAAACAGACACAATGAGTCCCTCACAGCCAGCACATTCTACCTGAAAGGGTGCATTATTGTGGACTGTGAGAAAGGATTTGAAAGGTTTCTTTTTTCTTGTGGGTCTGGAGTTCTCTGTAAGCTTGAGCTGTTGAAAGCACTTGTGAACTCGTTATTTCTTCTTTTAAATTCTCCCGGGACAAATTTCGCTGAATTTTAAGATGTTAGAGCTAAAGAGGAAAAAGACTAAGACTTTCAAAGCCTCTCCCTTTATTTACAGTCAGAAAAAGACAAAAACTTTCATGGCCAGTGACTGACTCCCACCTCAATGCACACACATTCAGTCTCTCTCCCCTCCTCCTCTCCCCCCGCCCCAGACACAGACACAGACACAGACACAGACACACACACACACACACACACACACACACACACACACACAGAAGTGGGGTAAAGAAGAGTAAGAAAGACTCCGCCATATGTTAAGCACCAACTAACTCATCACTCAACATAAGCTCCTTGCTTATGGCTGTCCAGCTCACATCAGGAGGGCCAGTTGTGTCCCATGGTTGTAGACCCCGGGGGGGGGGCCCATTAGCCATCTTGCCACCAGGTCTGAAAAAGCACCTGTGAGGACCTGCCTGGCCCAGGGCCTCCCCTTGGACTACATGCTCAGCCTTGAGGATTCTGTCACCTAAGAGACAGGACCTACTTTATAAAGGGTGTGGGGAATTCTTCCCCCTGCAGTTAACATCTCAGCAACTACCTAGAAAGAACCTTCTAGAGAAGGCTGGGTGTGTAGTCAACAAGAAGCCAGAGACTAAGCCCAGTCATAAAGCACACAGTGTCCTC